AGAGTCAGAGAGACAATTACTCAGCAAAAAATAAAAACCATGAAACAGTTTCACAGTTAAAGGGTTTTCATGTGGAGATCACATTCATTCCTGCACCTCCTTAAACTCACCAGCTTTCAAGCTTTCACTCCTTAATTTTTAATATCATCTTTCTTTAAAGATTAGGCCTTTCCAGATTACACATAAATTATTGTTTTCTCAGATATTCCACTTTATATTATGTACTTTAAAATAACAAATTTCCACAGAGCACAGAGAATTGATTTTTGTTACTTTATTTATTGTGAATAATCTTGACTTCCAACCGGGGATGTTCGATATAGGTTTTAAGGAATGGAAGAACAAAGGAATTCAGAGACTGAGGGACTTGTTCTCCGACAATGTAGTTATGCCATTTGACCAAATGGTTGAGAAATATTCTCTCCCCAAACATGACTTTTTCCGTTACTTACAGATAAGGCATTATATTTTACATAGTACTAACCTTAGTGAGAGTCATGAAGTCTCTCCTGTTGAAAAATTATTATTTTTAACAGACAAAGGGGTACCTGTGAAGATATGTTATAAGGCTTTATATTCTGTACTTTCAGTGACGTCACAGAGGCTTAAAGGCTCATGGCAAAAGGAGTTAGGTACAGCAATTGATGATGAAGAGTGGAAAGATGTCTGGAGTTATGCCAAATCAATCTCAGTTTGTAATCTTACCAAAGCAATACAGTTAAAAATTATACACAGAATGCATATATCCATATCTCGCAGACATCAATATAATCCTACCCTTTCACCCATGTGCCTCAAATGCAAGACAGAAATTGGTACCCTAACTCACAGCTTGTGGTCATGTTTGAAATTGCAAGAATATTGGTCTGTGTTATCTGAAATGGGGAAGATTTTTGGTTGTGAATTGAATCTGTCTCTCATACTGGGCCTCCCCAGCCGGCAATTAATATCCAAGAATAATAGGAGATTGTACTGTGTTCTCACCGATGCGGCGAGGAAGAATATACTACTCCAATGGATTTATGAAAAAGTACCAACTATTAAAGGTTGGCAAAGAGTAGTGTTGGATCTAGTGCCATTGGAATATCTTACATGTATACTGCACTCAAAAACAGATCAATTCTTTAAGGTGTGGGAACCATACTTGAACTATGTGGAACCTGATGTTTCTAATATTATGTTACAAGGATTCTCTTGAGTTTTCAAACTGCAACGTACTACTGGGACCACAGGTACTGCATTGTATTCTCTCTTTATTTATTTATTTTTTAGATGGAACTGAGCTGGTGTCCTGTGCTTAGTTATCAGTCTGTTTGTTTTTGTTTTGTTTATTTGTTTTTGTTTATTTGTTTGTTTGTGTTTTGTTTATTTGGTTTTGTTTGTTTGTTTGTTTTTGTTTGTTTGTTTGTTTTTGTTTGTTTGTTTGTTTTTTAATTTACTTTTGGTTCTGAATTGTACACTTTATTATGTTATGTAATTATGTACTATTTGTGAAAACAGAAAAAACTAATAAAAAATAAAATAAAATAAAGATAAAACACAACATGTCTGATAAAAGTGAAAGAAGAGAAAACATAGCCGTGAATTTAGAGGAAGTGAGGGTGTTGAGTCCATCGGTTAAACCAGTTTAAAGTTCATTCATCATGAATATCATTCAGCTCGAGCTTCTTCTCCTCACAGCTGATCTCTCTCTCTTCTTGTTGTTCTTTATGGGACTCTACACAGAAATGTACTGAGGTACATACTGAAGTTAGCTGCAGCTTTCTGTCAGTGAAACAGTCAGATATTATATATTCATAATTATATGAACACATTGAGAACAATAAAATGTTGATAACTTGTCACCTTTCAAGTTTTATTCTCTTTAGTTTGGTTTCAGGATTTCATTCATTACAACATTAAAAATGTGCAGAATGGGTCAGAGGCCAAAGTCAGAGCCAGAGACGAGCAGCAGAGACGTCCCACAGGCCTGAATGCAGCCACGAAAACGTTAGTGCCTGAAAGAAAACTGCAGCTCCAAAAGTGAGAGGATTCCAACAAACTCCCATGTTCAGATGTTTCACTCAAATAAACAGGATTTCAGCCTTGTATAATCCCTGCAGCTTTTTAATGGAATTACCTGACAGATGATAGGATGTGCCGGGTGACCACGAAGGCAAATTCAATTGTGTGATTTTAGTTTTAGTTTTTACAGCTTGCCAGCTGTTGCTAATAACTTGGCACTTCACTGGCGCATCCAAAAATCCAACATGGCAGGAGCCAAAAATGCCAGTGAGTTATAAAAAACCTCTCAGTTCAGAAACCCATTGCTCAAGGTGGCTGTGTCCATCCTTTATATACAGTCTATGAGCAGTGCACACAAAGCTCCAAGTTTAAATGTCCCAGATATTTTATCATCAGCAACAACATCTGCCCACAACGCTTTCCACAGTGTTTCTTCAGCTGAGCACAATCACCCACAACTTTTTTTCTGCCTCTGCTAAACATATTCTGTATGCCTTATTTTAATTTCATTACTTTCATTCTGAAAAACATCCTCAGTTTACATTAACTTTGTTTTTATTGTGTGTAAAAAGAAATGAAACATAAAGTCAGTATTTATCAGGCAAAAAGCAATAAAAGCAGTTATTATAAAGTGGTACAACAATAAATGGACATTATACATGGTTTATGTGGTTTAAAGTGTTTCTTGATTATGATTCAATGCAGAAAAAAGCCCAAACTACATTTTCCCGCCTCATTCAACGGAGCAGGTGAAAACCATACAAAAAAGATCATTAAATTTAATTAAAGTTAAATCTGCATGCAAATCATAACTTCAAATCATCTTTAAGTATTCTAAAATATCACAAGAATTCATATAAATTAAGCCTTAATAAAAATATACATTTTGGTGAAAAGGAAAAACACCCTACCCAGGGAAGAAGACTAGATTATATAAACTGATGTTCAATATATCTGCAAAATGACAATCATAAACTACTCCAAAACTCAAAAGTACAAAAGTATACCCACCCGCCTCTCCAAGGGTGATTTTAGAAAATAATTTCCCATCAGTAAGGTGATATTCTATGTCCCTATGTCCCTACACCCATTTAAAGCAGCGGGGGATCAAACCACCAAGGACTCCACCGCTGACTGCTGCCCAGACCACAACACACTGGACCCCCTTGGCCCCAAGACAAGGTCATCGGGAACTTTTATATAACCAATTGCCAAAGTTGTTTGAAGCCCTCATGAAGCCAACAGCCAACAGTTACTGTTGATGTGATGTTCTTCTGCTTCCTGTATCTGTGGGCATGATGTTCGCTCTGTGTTGTAGCGTCCTGATGACACCCAGTTTGTGCTCCAGTGGATGATGAGTGTTAGGTCTGCACTCACAGGCTTCGGTAGTTCAGAGACTTATCCCCATGAACAAAGCAAGACAATCAGAGCTCAATCCATTTTGACTTGCAAGGGAAGCTCAGTCGGAATCTCAGAGTTGTAAGCTCCCTGACAACTTCAAATTCCAGCCTTCCCTTGCAGCCTTTTTAATCAGTGAACACAGTTACACAACCCCCCATTGTAAAACCCATATGGTGTGTCATAAAAGCTAAGCCACTGTGTGTGTGTGTGTGTGTGTATATATATGTGCAACCATGTCAGTGCATGTGTATGTGTCTCTGTATATGTGACTTCCTGGTTACAACCATTTAACATTTACGGGCGATCATGGCTCAAGAGTTGGCAGTTCGTCTTGTAACCGGAAGGTCACTGGTTCGATCCCTGGGCTCTCTGTCCTGGTCGTTGTGTCCTTGGGCAAGACACTTTACCCTACCGCCTACTGGTGTTGGCCAGAGGGGCCGATGGCGCGATATGGCAGCCTCGCTTCTGTCAGTCTGCCCCAGGGCAGCTGTGGCTACAACTGTAGCTGCCTCCACCAGTGTGTTAATGTGAGAGTGAATGAATAGTGGTATTGTAAAGCCTAGAAAAGTGCTATATAAATGAATAAATAAATCCATTATTATTAACAACATCTCTGGTCATAAAAGCGTCATCTCACACCACCCCATATACGGCTTAACCCCTTTAACGGACCACCATATAAAAAACGGTAAATGGCCTGTATTTGTATAGCACTTAGTCCTTATGGACCCCAAAGCACTTTACACTACATTCAGTCATCCATCCACACACTGGTGATGGCAGCTACATTGTAGCGCACTGACAGAGACGAGGCTGCCGGACACTGGCGCCACCGGGCCCTCTGACCACCACCAGTAGGCAACGGGTGAAGTGTCTTGCCCAAGGACACAACGACCGAGACTGTTGGAGCTGGGGCTCGAACCGGCAACCTTCCGATTACAAGCAGCAGCAAAAGAAGATCCAAACTACACTTCACATAAACATCGTCATGAATTCCCTCTGACTTTTGCTCTTTTGCTTCCACCACTTTGTGCACAGCTCTCTCTCTGTACTTCAAGAACAGTTTCCCATCAAAAATCTGTTTTCTGCATTATTCGCTTGCTTATTACGCACCAGTCTACTGTTGTCTACAGCACTGTTGGCCGCTGTTTTATTTTGTTTTTTAATGACCTCCACGCCTCATTTCCACTGTTCAATACTGAAGAAATGTAAACTTTTTAAAATGATGCCAAATTGCAAAATGCTCAGCTGTGTCTCTATAAAACCTCTAACTTTGCTCTGCTTCACTTCAGCAGCATCAGGTAATTTTCATATGTTGATTAATGGTTTTATTTTGTTTTTGATCTATTGCAGAATATTTTTAAGGTCATCTGCTATAAAAAGTCAGGTCAGGAAAATCACCTTCATGTTTTTCTGTGTTTATCCTCAGTTACTTTGGCACAAAGGCATCTGCTGTGATGCTCACACCTCTGAGGTTATTTAGACCAAAATACTCAATTTTGCTCTACAAGGGCCTGATGTCCACTTACGAGGACACACTGCCACTGTTCTATGGAAATGTAAAGCGAATGTCCTCATATGTGGATCTCATTTTTCTCAGAAACAAAAATCAGGTATAAAAAAAATATCTTGTAATTCTTTCTTTTTTATATATACATTCATCAGGTCCCAATCAGCCCAAATAGCAAAAAGAAAGACTTAGAAGGATAAAGGACATGAATGTCTCTCTTGATGTCTGCAGTTTTGCTCATGAGACAAAGCAGGGCTGTTTCTTGTCTGTAGTCAGAAGTTTTTCTTTCAGCGCATTAATTTCTGTTTCGTGTTTTTTCTGCATTTCTTCCAGTTCCTTCCTGGTACTGTCGTCATCTTGGGTCCCGAGTTTCTGTTTTAGTTCATTCATTTCTTTTTCCTGTTTCTTCTGCAGCTCATCAAGTTGTTCTTTCTCATTTTTTTCATTTTCTTTCAGAAGCTTTTGTTTGAATTCGTCCAGTTTTTGCTCGTGGTTTTCCTTTAATTCAACTAATTTTTTCTTTTGATTTTGTTGCAGCTTTGTTAAAAGAGTTTGCTTTAAATCACAAATTTCTTTTTCATGTTGGTTGAACAGCTCTTCCCTTTCTGTCTCCCAGTCGTCTTTGTTTTGGGTCAAAAGCCGTTTCTTCAATTCTTTCATTTTTTCTTTTTGTTTCTTCTTTAGTTTGCCAACTTCTTCCTTCTCTTCTTCCCTTTTCTCATGTAAAAGATCCTTTTTAAGCTTCTCTTCCTCTTTTCTGTGTGATTCCTGCATACTTTTTATTTTTTTCTTGTTTTCCTGCTTTTGACTCAGGAGCATCAGGACTAAATCAGCTATTTCTGATTTATGTTTACCCTGCAGAACACCTATTTCCTGCTTCAGACTATTTTCTTTGTGGTCTGACAGATCCTTTAATCTTTCAAATTCCTCCTTTTCCATCTCTAGATCAACCACCTCCTCCATGAGTTTAAGTATCCCAGCTTCATATTTTTCTCTGAATTCATTCAACTCTTCAGCTGTTCTTCTGGCCTCTTCTTTAGACTTCTCCATGTCTTCCTGTATGTTTTCAATTTCTTTCTTATAGTTTTCCTCCAACTCTTTTAGTTTCTCTTCTTGTTCTATTTTGATTTCATCCTCTTTTTCTTTTTCACGTTCATATTTGTCTTTTTCTTGGTTGTATTCTTCTTTGAGCTTCCTGAGTTTCTGCTCTTTCTGTTCATCATCTTGGTTTTGTTTTTCTTTCAGTTGATCCTGCTCTCTTATATTTTCTTTGTACTGTTCAAGATCGCTGTTAATCATTTCCTTTGATTCTGACTCTGATTGTAGTTTTTCCTCCAGTTCTTGAATTTTTTGTTCCCATCCTTGTCTTTTAAGTTCTTCTGTTTCTCTCTCTTTCTTTCTAGTTTCTCGTTCTTTCTTTCTCTCTTCAGACTGAATGTGGATGCTGTTCTGTAGCTGTCTGAGTTGCTCATCTCTCTGTTCATTTTCTTTTCTTTGCTCTTCCATTTGTCTTTTCATTGATTTCATTTCTTCCTGGTGTTTTCTTTCGAGTTCCTCCCTCTGTCTCTTCATCTCTTCTTCCTTCTCTTTCAGCAGCTTCTCCATTTGTTTCTTTATTGCTGCTTCAGCTTCTTGCAGCATCTCATTGGTGAAGCAGTTTCCTCCATTTTTCTTCACCATGGTTTCAATCTTTGTTATCAGCTCACTGACTTGTGTGCAACTTTGTTTCTCACGGTTATTGAACACATGGTATCTCGATTCACAGTGAGTGATCAGATTTTTAAACGAATCCTCACATGCATCTTTAATGTAGTCTTCAATAGACTGTTCATGATGTTCGAGTGTATCTCCTCCTGTGAAAAGAATGATGGTGAATTTCTCAGAATCCTTCCCAAAGACTTTCTTGATCAGTTTCAGAGTCTCTTTCTCCTCTGGCGTTAATCGGCCAATCTGCAACACCAACAGGAAGACATGTGGTCCTGGAGCCAGAAGACTGATGCACTTACTCATCTCCTCACAGACCTCTTCATGTGACAAAGTCGAGTCAAAGAGTCCAGGAGTGTCGAGCACGACAACAGGACGACCGTCCACATCACCCTGTGCTTTCTGACAACATTTGGTAACAGATGTCTGGCTTGCGCCAGTTGTGAACTCTTTTCTTCCTAGAATGGTGTTTCCTGAGGAGCTCTTTCCACTGCCAGTCTTTCCGATCAGCACAATTCTCAGACAGTCTGAGCTCTGCTTCTCTTCCTCCACTGTAAGTTAAGAATACATAGTTATTGAAAGGTAATTCTAACTCACTTTAATAATCTTTCAGTACCTTCTAATTTTTCACAAAAAAAACCAACTAAACAATAAAAACTGTAAAACATGGCTCAGTGATGACAGGGAACAAAGTCAAAACTGTCACCCAAGCGTACACCATTTGTCCTATTTGGAAACATAGCAAGTGAAAAAAACAAAACACATATTCTTTTCCTTTTAGCTCACAGGTCAGGTTCGGTATTAAAGACCATGTAAAAGGATTTCAAAACGTTGTGGCCAAAATCCACTGAGGCATTGCCAGCAAAATGTTTACCAACTTCAGTGCCGAGATCTCATAAATACACCCTTACACTTCCCCAGGAACTCAGAAGACAAGTAGCAGCCATTTGCTGATAATCAAATGTGCTTGACTGACTTGATCATCAGCAGGTAAGAGCACCTCTATAAAAGCAACGGGTTTGGCAGTTTGCTGGTCATGAGCATTCTTCATGTGTGTGTTAACACAATGCTGAGGAGGAAAAACATTAGCATCGACTTCAGACTTTCTGCTCATAAACTTGCAAAGTGATTTTAGGCCCTTTCCAAACAATTTAATGTACATCATTCTAGAGTGAGAAACATTATTCACATGTGGAAAATATTTAAGACTGTTTTCAAGAACACAGTAGTACGTAGTAGTTGCAGCTAAACAAACCAAAAACTTATGGAACAATGTGACCAAAGCAAAGATGTATGGCCATAATGCACAAAACTCCAAACCAAACACAACATAAACTCAAAAAAATGACTCTTTGAATGAACATAAAAAAAATCATGGAAAGAATTTCCCTGTAATTAAATTGTGTTATTTTAGCATTATGCAATTCTGTTATTCCAACTTAATGTACTTGAGTTGGAATAACTTGATTAATTAATGATGAATCAACTGTTTTACTACAGTTGAGTCCAACTTGATCCAACCCATACAAATTACGTTAGTGCAACAAAAATGCTTAATTGTAATAGAAAGCCATTTATTAATGTGGAAATCCTTTCCATGATTATTTTAAGTTAATTTAAAGAGTTATTTCTTTGGAGTGTTCAACAAAGTCTAGAGTCTGGTTAACAAAATGTTAATGGATTTATAAAAACTTCCACTCCATCCATCCTGTTATCTTTACCAGGGTTGCTGGCCTATGACCCTATCCCAGATGTGAAAGGGTGTGAATGGTAAATGGCCTGTATTTGTATAGCACTTTACTCAGTCCCTAAGGACCCCAAAACGCTTTACACTACATCCATCCATCCATCTTCATCCGCTTTATCCGAGGCCGGGTCGCGGGGGCAGCAGCTTAAGCAAAGAGGCCCAGACCTC